GCAGCAGATAGCTTGGAAGCGGCAGCAGCAGCCACAGGCATTGCCACCTCCGAGACATTTCGTCTCGGATCATGGGAAATTCGGGGGAACAGAGTTTAGGAGATCAGGTCCAGGTACTTACAAGCTACCGGGTGGTCAGAGAGGAGCTGCGGCGACAGTGAAAGATGGGCAGAATTCGAATTTGGATTGCCATAGTGTTGATCGGTATGAGAAACGAGAGGAATCTAAACTAGGTGGTAGAGGGAACAGTGGGAAGGACAAGGATGATAATGCATTGTCTGTTGCAGAGGAGAAGAGAGGTATTCTTCTGTTGTTTTCGAGATTTTATTGTGTTTACTTGTAGGAAAAGCAACCTTCTCAGTTAGAGAAACATATATGATATCTTCCATAACTTTAAGTCTACCTGCAAATTAGTGTGAAACGTTCTCCACTGTTGATTGCTGCTAACAGATGGTGTTGCTGTGTCTTGGGATTTACTGGTTTTTTTTTTGTTGTTGTTAAGAAGACCCTGAAACAAAATCGGGTTTGGTTGTTTGTTTTGTTTGTACTCTTGTCTACTTAGGTTTAGATGGCTCGGCAGTGCTTTACGTTGGTGTAGCAGAAATGTAAGTTGTTTTCTTGTCTGGTCCAGGGACAGAAGGTAGTGAGAATCTAGAGGCCAATAGTGGAAACTCAAAAGATTCAGGGAATTCTGAAGAATCTGAGATAGTCATTTCGGAAACTCAAGCAGGGCTGGCTAACCATAAATCTAACTTGGGTTCAAAAGGTATCAAAGACAGCCTATTTCCTCGATTTTCAATTCTCTGGAAGTTACTTCATAAACTAAGCCTTCGAGTTTGTATATTTTTCCTATTTAATTGAAGCCCTGTTAGTTTTTCTTGCAGACAGCAGTCTCTCTTCTGAGCAAAAACAGAATGAGATAGAGAAAGAGAGTCCTAGAAGCAAGGCAAAGGCGTTTGTTGTAACGGAGATGTATGAAGGGAAAACGGTACTTGGTTTTCTCCATGTTTGTTTCCGATTGATTGTAAGAGAGTTTTGTATTGCTGTTCCCATGAAGATGCTTAATTTCTCACTCGTTTAGGTCAATGTAGTCGAAGGATTGAAACTGTATGACGAACTTTTTGACGCAAAGGAAGTTTCACAACTCGTTTCTCTGGTAAACGATATGAGGGTTTCGGGGAAAAGAGGTCAACTTCAGGGTAAGCTTTTATTATCATAACATAGGATTTACCATAAGCTGATGTATTATTATCGACCCTAGGCTGTCTTCTCTTGAACATTTCCATGAACGATATTCCTTTCTGCCGTTTTAGTTGGTTCTAAGCTGTTGATGAATGATAAGCAGGTCAATCATATGTGGCAAATAAACGGCCGATGAGAGGACGTGGGCGGGAGCTGATTCAGCTAGGTCTCCCAATAGTTGATTCTCCAGTCGATTGTGAAGCTCCAACTGGCATGTCCTTTACCGATATTTGATTATATGATCGCTTTGTTCATTATCTGTTTCCTTACATCAGACGAGTTTCTGCAGATAGGAAGGTTGAGCCGATTCCAACGGTCCTGCATGATGTTATTGAGCGTTTGGTGGCCATGCAAATTGCCCCCATGAAGCCAGATGCCTGCATCATTGATTTTTACAATGAGGTTAGCTCACATTATGTTCTAAAACACTTTCGTGACAAGAACTATATATATGTGTGTGTATGTATGTATGTGTATATATGTATAGCTCATCCTTGGAATCTGTAGGGAGATCACTCGCAGCCTAACATGTTCCTTCCATGGTTTGGGCGACCTGTCTGCATCATGCTACTGTCTGAATGCGATGTGACATTCGGAAGGGTTATCGTCTCAGATCATCCGGGTGACTACAAGGGCTCTCTGAAACTCTCTCTTACGCCCGGGTGCGTATTCGTATTCATATCAATTGTTACCTAAAGTTGAGATCTTTCAAGTCTTTTCTCATGAATCGTTTCTCGAGCTCGTGATATTCTTCCTGGCCCGTTTTCTGGAATCTGATAAGACTTCCTCCGGGCAATTGAAACAGATCGGTTCTTGTGGTGCAAGGAAAATCCGCAGATCTTGCGAAACTTGCGATTGACTCAACCAGAAAGCAACGGGTACTCGTTACTTTCGTCAAATCTCAACCGAGGAAGTCCATAACGGGATCTAACTGGGGCCCGCCGCCGAGTAGATCGCTGTCCAACCACCACTTCCGTCACCCATCTGGCCCACCCAAACATTATCACAGCATCCCGACCACCACCGGTGTGTTGCCGGCACCACCAAACGGAGTGGTTCAACCGCTTTTCATCGCACCTGCCCCTCCTATGCCCTTCCCTGCTGCATCTGTTGCTGCCATTCCCCCACCTGGTCCAAGCGGGTGGTCAGTGCCCCGTCACCAGCCACCACCGCCACGTATGCCTCTTCCTGGCACGGGTGTTTTCCTCCCACCGCCAGGCTCGGGTAGTAACCCCGACTCTTTGGCGAATTCCGACAATGGCAACGGTAACAGCAGAAACTCATCAGAAGAGAAAGTAGACAAGAAGACGACAGAAGCGTGGAATGGGGATGTTGCAGGAGAAGAGAACGGCGAGGACAAGCGGAGCAGCTGACAGAGGAGAAGGAAGAAGACAAACTGGGGGAGATGTGTGTCTGATTAAGACAGTCAGTTTCTGGGATTTTATTTAGAGGGACACAAAAGAGGGAAGAGAAACAACATTTCTCTGTTTTTCCTGCGACTAAACCATTCGATCTATCCTTAATTTTGTTTTATCATTGTTATCCACTCTTTATGAAACCATATATATATATATATATATATATATATATAAAGAGAGAGAGTCAAAATACCCAAAATGAATACGATCGTCGAGAGTCTTGTATTACAAGTGTTTCAACTCCATATACATTGACCTAAGGCATGTCAATCGGGCTGGTAATGGTATAGCTTACCTCTACAAGGAGAAAAATGGGTTAGTTCGCTAGTTGGACAAAAACATAAACTGAAATCATAAAAATAACATTTCGATCTGAATAAAAATCATAATACAATCTATTGCGAACAATTGTTATGTCTAAAAGTTAACCAAATAAGTTCTAAACATTAACAAAAAATTCGAAAACGAATCGTTTGTTTCCAACCATTTCTTGAATTAAAAAAAAAAAATAGATTTTAGAGCAAAATAGTTTTAACAAAAAAAATTATTACAGGCTAACCCGTGGCCGTCCGGACTAGCTCACGGGCTAGATGACTCGTGGTGGATTGGCTCATTTGATCCGTTTTGTAAAAGGAATTAAAATATATTCTTATTACACAAACATCAAAATCCCAAATGGAAAACGAACACACATAGAATTTATTCAACAGATGCATAAAAATAACATTGAGTGATTAGAGTTTCTTCTTGGAGTCGCTGTCTTTGGACAAGGTCCATTCATGAAGAACTTTGCCGTCGACGTCATAGTACACAAATTTAGCATTCGAGTGAGTGATTTCGAACGACACGAAGCCTTGCCCGTCATAGTATAGCTTCATTTCTGTCGGATCCCATTGCTTTGTGCTTCCTTTCCACGCCTTTGATCCTCCCCCGCTCGTCAAAAATGGCATTTTGCTGCTCATATATATATACCCCAAAATCTTTAAAACTTTATTGTGAAAATGTGATTTTTTTTTAAATTGGTAATCACATCATATGATTGTTATATGCGATCTTGTTGTATTGAAAAGTTATATGATTAAGCAAACGAGTTTAAACTCACTTCTTGGAGCTCATTATGTGTTGGAGGCAATGATCATGCCCATTTACGTACATGTCCACGTTATTCGCCTAAAAACAACAACACCAATAAATAAATAAATAAATAAATAGATAAATAGATAAATAAATAGTAACATGTAAATAGAGAATGACCTCAAGAATGGGAAGAATTTGATCCACGAGCTCCTGGGTTACACCGTGATAGCCGGCGCTCTGGATCGCGTGATGCCCCACGACGATTTTCCACGTGGCACGTGACTTTTTCAAACCCATTTCTAAATCCTGGGAAAAAAATGTATATTATATACATAAGGTGTAATCATATATTAAAAATTAAAGGATGAGAATATAAATGGGGAGTAATTAATTATCACATGTAAGACGTTTGAGAGATATTGTTTTCTCGGCAAGACTTGGGTCCAATCAAAAGTATGGTCTCCTGGGTCTGTGAAGTACTTGTCCACAAAGGGAGTTGTGTCCACGAAGAAAAATTCGACCAACCCTTTGGCCGTAGCCAAAACGAAAGATCTACGACAAAACCATCTCTTGTCTTTTTTGGCAAGAACATCGCTAAGCTGCGCCCCCGCATCTCCCATGTAATCGTGATTTCCCAACACTGTAATCACATTTTTCAGGAGATGGGTACGTAATTTAGAGATTGGAAATAACAATTTTGTGTTCATAATTACAAAATTTGTAATTTTTTTGGGGGGTTTTGAGGAGGTGAAGAAATTACCAGTATACCACTGTTTCTGGAGGCTTGGATGGGTGTAGACGCGGGTGAAGGATTCTTCGAAGGCAGTGTCGTTGACTCCGGTTAAGCCCTCGTCGTAGAAGTTATCTCCCGTTGATATCACAAAATCTATGTCTAGCTCGCTTCCCACCCTCCCCATCTGCAAAAAAAAAAAAAAAAAAAAAAAAAAATTCACATTTCTTTACTAATTGCCTCAATTATTACACATAGGGATGGACAAAATATCTGAAAAACCGAATCGATCCGTTATTCGATTCGTATCCGAACCGAAAATTCGGATATCCGGAGTTTACGGATCGGATACGGATATTTATTTTGAAATATTTATCGGATACGAATATCAAAATCGAATTATCCGACATATCCGATCCGATCCATTGTAATAATATTATTAAATATAAAAATAATTTGATATAAATTTTTAAAATGCTTAATATTTATATATTTTTTAAAAAATTCAAGAAATATTTTATAGATATTGAAGTTTAGAATGTTTAATCTTTTGAATATTAAGATTTATTATGTTTAATATTTTAAATTTTGAATTTTGAATATATTTATATGTGATAAATTATGATTGTATTTGTATTTGAATTGATTTGGAATGTTTAAATTATGAATTTTAAATGGTGAATATCGTTTATATTAAATAGTTTATATATTTTATTTGCTTTGAGTTTATTATTTAATTTTAATTCAAAATTTTATAATATTGTAGATCGGATATGGATATTCACAAATATCCGTGATTTTTACGGATATCCAAAAATTACGGATAGGATACGGATAACAAAATCGAATATTTATGCGAATCAGATACAGATATCTCAAAAATTCCGAATATCCGATCCGTACCCACCCCTAATTACACACTAACAATTGTTAATCTTAGTCAAAGGCTGAAATTTTGTAAAAAAACCGAAATAACAGATGTTAGATTGAAAGCCAATTTTTTCTCCCATGATAATGACAATTTCAGGGATCCATAGCTTCACAGAATATAGGATATGCTTTTGTCATTGGAGAATATCTGAAATGTGTCTCTTTTCGTTGCGGGAATATTCCTACGGAATTCTGTGCCCATATATATATATATATATATATATATAATATCTCACACGATGTAATAATAATTAGATATTCGTACAGATTAATTGAGACACAAAAACTGGGGACTGTACATCGGAAAATTCGGAAAATTTGCGTGGAAAACTGTATCGCTCAATTATAGACGAGAATCATGGAACACAAACAAAATAAATTTCGAGTTTTACAATAATATATTTTATCCAAAAAAATCTTATATATTATATATGTATATATGAGAAAATACCTGATCAGCGACACGAGATTGATTGAACTGTCCCTTGCGTCCCCAATCTCCGACAACGAGAAAGCTAAGAGAGCCATCTTCCTTGGTCGAACGATGCTCGAACCTCGGAAACTCCGAGACACAACTCTTCAATATGCATAGAAACACGCACACACCAACCACGACCGAGATCCTCATGTTTTTTTTTTTTTTTTTTTTGGGTGAATCGATAGACTATAATTATAATTTTCTTAGAAAAAAACACATGGAAATATTTATGTGGTTGTATCTGTTTGTGTGATGTGAGAGTGTGTGTGTATATATATATATAGCTTGATCGAGAGATTGTGTTTTCTTCAACCAGCAAGCAATGTCAACAAACACCGTGACTTGCGAGGATATCTATAATAATTTAGTGCAGATTTGAGTTAAATGTGGTTTAATTAAACAAAATGGGCATTTCACTTTTTTCCTCTTTCTATAATTATATTAAATATCGGCCCTGTTGTTTTTTACTTACACGTTGTCTATCATCTTCATTATTATTTATTATTATTATTATTATTATTATTATTATTATTATTATTATTATTATTATTATTATTATTATTATTATTATTATTATTATTATTATTATTATCTACGATCAATTCATATATAATAAAAAAAATACTATATACGTATATATTTATGATAAGAAACAAAAAAAAAGGAAGTTCTAATGTTGGTATGGTAAAGAGCCACCAACAGTATGATGAAAAGATACTTTTTCCGACGCATGGTTCATGTGAACTGTACATGAGAGATGCGTGGGTTTATTTAATTTTTTTATTTCCTCATTCGTAATGTTAAAATAAGAAAGAATCTTTTCAATTTCGCTAAATATATAAGAGAGAATCTAATATATTTGAAAAGAAATCAATCTTGGTCCACATTCAGACAATGCAAATTTAAGACACAATTAAATACCTAACACAGCATATTTCAAAACAGAAATCAACATAGATAGCATTCAAAATATACAAAACTATATGATAAAACTCAGTATCTAACCTAACACATTTTAAAAGAAGAAATCAACATTGGATCACATTCAAGCAAATACAAACTATATGTTACAACTAAGTACCTAACATAATATATTTAAAAAGAAATCAATCTTGGGTCACATTCCAACAATACAACTCTATGAGATATACGAAATTAGAATTACATTGACTACTTAAATATTTTTTCCAACATTGTCTTATATAGACATTCACTCCTTCATTTGCCTAAATTTCAAGGAATTATAACCTGATTAGTTGCTTATGGATCGATTTTGATACCAATGCACTTCAATTTGTTTTTTTTTTTTTATAAATAAAGTGGAATTAGATGAAATTTCATGACATTTCAATATAAAATCGTAATAAAAACTAAATTCATCCATTTTACAATTTTTTTTTATCAATGATTAAAAAATCAATGTTTTAATCATCTTCTTCTCTTTTCGCTTGTTCACTATTGCATTTCTATAGGACAAAAGTTCCTTCCATTCACATGATAATTAAGTTCCATCCTTTAAATTTTTCTAGGGTTAATAATTCTCTGTTAAAGTTCCTTTCCCTCTCTCACCGAGGCAAGCAGAATTTGTGCAGCGGTTGGTCTGTCGAGAGGCCAACTCCCTGTCCGTTATCTGGGTGTAACCTTATCACCCAAACGGTTATCTAGGGAGGCCTACAAGCCTCTCCTAGATAAGATCAGATTCAAGATGACAGCATGGGCAACGAAATCTCTTTCTTCAACGGGGAAGATCCAACTTGTGGCGTCTGTTATATATGGATTGGTGAATTCGTGGAGTATGATCTTCATGCTTCCCAAATATTTACTGAAGCAAATTGACAGCCTTTGTTCAAACTTCCTTTGGAGTCACAAGCAAAGTACATCTGCAGCTCATCGGGTCTTGTTGAAATTGGAGACAACAAACACTACATTCCGATTGAAGCTAATCTGGCTACTCTTTGTCAAAAAGCAATCGTTATGGGTAGACTGGATAAGAGAAAACACTATCCGTAAACATGGTTTTTGGGAAGCCCCACAAACAATCAATGCTTCTTATAACTTCAGAAGGCTCCTCAAGATCAGGGACCTGGCAAAAACCTTCATACGTGTGGAAATTGGGGATGGAAAACAAGCTTCATTTTGGTTTGACAACTGGTCTTCTCTTGGACCCTTGTTTGACTTTGTAGGTGGTTCGGGACCAAGGCTGATGCGACTCAACCACCTAGCTCGAGTTCAAGAGGCTGCCCCGGAAGGCACCTGGAACATGTCGCCGGCGAGGAATGACAAACTTATGCAACTTTAGATTGCCCTAGCTGGAATGGACCCACCGATGGAGGGGAAGGGAGCTGATCGATACCTATGGCGGCAAAAATCTGGAGACTTTAGGGAGCATTTCAGTTCGATGAGCACCCGCCAACTCCTTGGAGGAATCCCTGTAGCAGTGGCGTGGCACGACATGGTTTGGTTCAAAAAAGCAATTCCGAGGATGGCTTTCATTGTGTTAGAAAAATGTTATTAATTTCTTAAAACCAATTTGTGGTGAATGAGAAATTAATTTTAAAATGTGGTTATACAAAATAAATATAAAAATGTGGAGGAAGAACATTTGTCCCACATTGGAAAAATGACAAGCACAAGGAAGGAAGCTTCCTTATATTTATGTTTGTCCCACATCTAAAGTTTTGGCCAAGAGGAAGGAAGGAGCTTCCTTATAAAAAGAGCTCCCCTTGAGTCAATAATGTTCAAGCTCTAGGTTGACTAAAGCTAAAAATGCTTGGTCCCACTTCTTCCTTTTGGGAGAAAACGAGCAAAGTTCCCCGAGCGGAACTTTTAAGCTTTGGATTGAAAGTTCCACTCGGGACTATTCGATTCAGAGAAAAACGTTTCGATGTGGGATTTAAAATTTAAAGTTGCGCGTTGATGTGGGACGGTTGGGCTCCGAACCAATGCGTTCTTGACCAAACGTTTCCTTTTGGAACGATTCGGAAAGAACTGCTGGTTGAAAGGGTGGAACCTCTTCCTTCACATGTTTTCGTATCAACCCTCGAATATTATAAATAGGGCGCCCATAGATCATTTTCAGCATCCCATTTTTTTCTGAGTGCATTCTTCCTTTCAGAAAGAAATAATCTCAAACTTTCTCTAAAGAGTTCCGAACTTTTGTAGTTCGTTGGATTCTCTAAAGTAGGTGGTGTTTTTGTAGAATCGTAAGTCGTTGTATCTTGGAGACGATTGCCATAAACCGTAACCACTTGATAACGGGGCAATTTCGTCTTGAGGAGATTGTGTCTAACACAAGCCTCGACTTAACCCACTTCAAAAATTTTCTTTTCTTTTGAAAATTCTGTCTGAATTTCTGAATCCCACATCTGCGGATTCAACAATCTCAAGACGAAAGTTTGTGTCTATAAGACATGGATAGTGCTTCAAGTGCTCCAGTAGGGTCTGTTCCTGGACAAGGAACTATACCTGCACAAGTGAGCGTTCCGGTAGGATCTGTTTCTGCCCAAGGAACGACCCCGGTAGGATCTGTTCCTGCACAAGGGGAAAAGCCAGCGAAGTTCAATGGTGTGGACTTTAAGAGGTGGCAACAAAAGATGTTTTTCTATCTGACCACTCTTAATCTGGCTCGTTTCCTCACCGAGGAACCACCTGTGGTTTAAGATGAAGAAACCAACACAGAAAGAAAGAATGCATATGATGCATGGATTCATGGAGATTTTCTATGTAGAAACTATGTGTTAAATGGATTGGATGATGCGATGTATAATATATACAGTCCATTCAAGAGGGCTAAGGAACTCTGGGAATCCTTAGAGAAGAAATACAAAACGGAGGATGCTGACACAAAGAAGTTTGTTGTCGGAAAATTTCTCGACTTCAAAATGGTTGATGCCAAGTCGATGATCAGCCAAGTGCAAGAAATACAACTCATCCTGCACGAAATCATTTCTGAAGGAATGAAGTTGAGTGAATCTTTCCAAGTGGCTGCTATCATTGAGAAGTTGCCACCGTTGTGGAAAGATTTCAAGAACTATCTCAAGCATAAACGCAAAGAGATGGGGCTTGAAGACTTGATCGTGAGACTTCGGATAGAGGAAGACAATCGTCGAGCTGAAGTCAAAAGCGACAAGAAGGCAATGGAAGTCAAAGTCAACCTTTCAGAACCTAGTACGGGAAAGAAGAGGAAGAATTTCAAAAACAAAAAGAAGACTTCCAAAGCCAAGAAATTCAAAGGAAATTGCTACAACTGCGGAAAGCCGAACCATCTTGCTAAAGATTGTCGGAATCCCAAGAAGGAGGCTCACCTAATCACAAATCAAACCGTTCCATTGGATTTTGATGAGATGTCCTTGACCGCAGTAGTCTTCGAAGCTAACATGGTGGATAATCCCAAAACGTGGTGGCTTGACACAGGTGCAACACGACACATATGTGCCGACAAAGAGATGTTTTCGTCCTACATTCCCATCAACGGAAGGAAGTTGTTCATGGCTAACAACGAGACATCTCCGATAGTTGGACTTGGAAGAGTGGTGTTGAAGATGACATCCGAGAAGGAGCTAATGCTCATTGATGTTCTGCATGTCCCAGACATCCGCAAAAACCTGGTGTCAGGGTCCCTACTAGACAAGGCGGGATTTAGGCTAGTTATAGAATCTAGCAAAGTTGTATTGTCCAAAAATGGATTATTTGTAGGAAGATGATACCTCGATAAGGGGCTCTACAAACTCAATGTAATGAATGTACTTCGTAATCTTGATAATAAAGACAAGAGTTCTTCCTATTTGACTGAGTGTTCTAATTTATGGCATGATAGATTAGGACATGTAAACTACAATACATTGAGAAAGTTAGTGAACTTGGAACTCATTCCGAAGTTCAAAATAGACTCACAAAAGTGTGAAGTCTGCGTTGAAGCAAAGATGACAAAAACGCCTTTTCACTCGGTGGAAAGATCGACGAAACCTCTTGAGTTAATTCACACTGATATATGTGATTTGAAGTTTGTACAAACAAGAGGTGGTAAAAAGTATTTCATCACATTCATTGATGATTGTACAAGGTACTGTGTAATATATCTTTTAAGAAGTAAAGACGAAGCTCTAGATGCTTTTAAAAGGTATAAAAATGAGGTTGAAAACCAACACACTGCTAGAATCAAAATGATTCGAAGTGATAGAGGTGGAGAGTATGTATCACCTTTTGAGGAGTTCTGTGTCGAGTTTGGAATAATCCATCAAACAACGGCCCCATACTCTCCA